TGGTGAAAAGATGTAAAACAGAAAGAGCAAATAACCAATGCCAAATAGTAAAATGTCTGCTGAAACTGTGTGGTTCTTGAAATAGTCCAAATGCAGTATTTGTTGCAGATATGTGCAGTGGTTCATGCCTTTACAAAATCCTTCCAAATTTTTCCTCATTACATGGCTAAATAAATCATGGCTGGAGTGAAACATGAGCTCATTTCACCAGCCTGTAGTAGACTGGGTCTGCCTGGCCAACAGGGTGACTCAAGAGTGCAAGCGAGTTTTTAATGAATGAGAATAAGCCAGGAGCCAAAAAGGCGAGGCCACAGCGACTTCCACAGCATCTGTCATTCCTGATATAACACAGGGCTCTTCACGTACACTTTGAAACAACTTCAAAAGCCTAGTAGTTTTGAACCTCCCTAACTGGACATAATTCGCTGTTGTCAGAAGAAAACCTTGTATCTCCAAAATGGTAACTTTACAGGAAAAGGAAAAAACCTACTTTACTATTAATGTAAGTCAATGGAACCAGACTTTACAAGTCATTTTGGGTCATTTCTTTTAGTCCATTCGTCATGAAATTTACATACAATGTAAAGGGCAACGTTTTCAAATTATGTCAAAAATTGAAAAACGTCAAAAATGGAGGTACAAGGTTTTCCTTCACCAACAGCAAATTGTTTATTTATTTATAAAAAAATTAACTGCTGCCCTGTTTGTGTCTTAAGAGCTGACTTTGTTTCTGTATTTATATGGGTGTAAAAGTTTGTTCATGTGCAAACGAAAAATAAACTTAGTTAACTCAGTTGGATAAATTAGTTTGTGTAAATTACTTCAAAAAAGTATTCTCTTAAATGTAAGAAGAAAGACATGGTCTACCATCTAATGAGGATCTGTGTCACATAGGACGTTAGAAATAACATGCTACAAATGCACAGTAGAACCATGCACACACACTGGGGATGAATTTTTGAACATTCAAGTTTAAACATGAAAGTTAAAAATAGTAAATTAAGATTTTTGATATGCAAGTTCACTTCTTTATAACACGGTGTGTATAAATTTAAGAAACATGATGTTACAACTCTACCAAAGGGAAGTGTGCGAGTGTGTGTCTTATATTTCAGTCAGAGTTTCTTATCTGTTTATTCAGAAGAAAGAAGCATAGAAATGATACTGCAGCTGGCTAAAGGCTTCACACTACGTCACAGAAAAATTACAATAAACAAACTCATGCTCATTTCATACTTTACTCTCATAGTTTTGATGGCTTAAAACTTTCAGTATAATTTATCACGTTTAGTATCCGCTGACTAACTCTGCACAAACCTGGTTTGTTTCTGAGCCAAACAATATGAGGTGAAGTACAATGTGGCTAGTAGCATTAGTTGCTGTGAAAACAGTTGATTAGCAGTGTCTGGTTAACTTAAAGATTTTAGATAGATGCCTTACTAGGTCCCCTTTTATGGATGTTTGTTCTGGGTCTGGGTTTAATATACCACAATAATAGTAAAATGTCGAGTGGCGTCACTGTTTCTGGTGGTGCCACAATTTAAAATCTGAAAACACACTCACATGTATAAACATGAATGATCTTTTCAGATCTAGATAGATTACATGGTGTTGAGGTTGTGGAATCTAACATGCAGAATTAGTGGCGTTTTATACGACTCTTAAATGAGATGCTGTTCAGTATTCATACATAAATGTAAAAGCTCAGACGTTACTCTGTCTGTTTTGAGATTGCACTAGTTGTGCAATCATTGTGCAGATTTTCATCACTTTCCGGTTGAGAACCATGTGACTGTATATGAGAAGGAAGTAAAAAGCTGCAGCCAGAGCTTCTTCTGACTGGGTGCCGATGAGGCCTGAAGAGCAATTTACTGATGCAGGATCAGTAACCAGTCTTCTCCAAAATATGTCATAACCAAATGTTTCCTGCAATGAAGGTGTAAGGCTCATGTTCTGGAACAAGACGCTAACACACATACAGAGATGCACACTCGCTCATTCACTCTTGCTTAAGACGTGTACCGTACGTGATGATTCACAAACACTCATCATCTTCACACACACACACACACACACACACACACACAAGCACCTCAGGCCCTGTGGAATATCACACACTCAACTCAGGTACATTGCACACACATAAACAAAACCTCTGCCAGTGTCTGATACTAGGTCTGATACTACTTACGGGTAGTGAAGAACATCCTGTGGGGCTGCCATAATTACTCGATTAGAAAAAATAATAGGTTAAAATATATGTTCTCGATGAATCAGTTTAGTGATTAGTTACAGTTGCAGTATCAGTTTAGTGATTAGTTACAGTTGCAGTATCCACAGATCATTATAAAACTGTGTTTGGGAGCCTGAAATTTTTCTACAGAAAGCTGTTAGTGCTGTGCACTTAAGTTGTTTTTCTGGGCATTACAGAAAAAGAGGAAACCCACACCAGCAGGATCACACTAATGCACATATGTTTGTATTTTCATAGAAGTGGTACCACAATTTAGCATTATCGTACTGGAGACATGTGTTACTTATAATGTGAAGGATTCTGCATTAAGCACTGCTGTATAATGATATGTGTGCCTGTAACAGTCATTAGAATATTCCTAGCACAAAGTATTTATAAAGATTTCTGGCTCAAAGTAGTATTTAAGATTTCTCTAAATTTCTCAAGCTGCATTACATTGAGTTGTTTCAAAAGGTTTCTTTCTCAGCAGAGTATTTTGGAATCTTTGAAAGGCTCTATACAGTATGTTATTATATTGGTAATTATCAAAATAATTGGTAGATTCCTTGATTACTAATATATGTGACAGGCCTAATATCCTGACCAGGACTCTGTAATGTGACACGGATCACAGTCTCTCGCATTGTCTAAAACTCACACACACACAAAAGTAACAGAGCAATTTCACAGCAAAGCAGAATCGCTGGCCGTGCACATGAGTCACCAGCCTGCATATAAGAGAAACTATGAATGTAAGAGAAACATCAGTGCATAAGCGCCCTCTTATTTATTGTTGTAGCTCCAGAGGTCTGGCTCTGGGGCAGCTTACTGAATATGTCTCAATAAAAATGAGTTTTCTGTTCCAAATAACCATTCTGCTGGAATATTGTGAGTTTATTGGAATATCTTCATTTCTGATCTAGAAGATTTCCTAAAAACATGAGTTGATTATTTATTACTGATTCAGGATGTTTATTTGAAATCCTTTGAATGTACTGATACAGAAGAATTGATTCCTAAGAACGTATTTAAACATGCTGATCCAGAATCGATTAATAAGTATTTGCTTTCTGACAAGGAATTGAGATTTTTGACAATAATCAGCCAACAACAAATTATAAGCCTTTAATCTTTCAAGTGGTTACGATCTGCTGGTTGTGTTTGTGTGGTGTTACTGGCTGCCATGCTCTGTGTGTGTGTGTGTGTGTGTGTGTGTGTGTGTGTGTGTGAGCGAGCTCTGCCAAATAGCTGTTTAAGAGCCAAGCCCATATGCGAGACTAATTCTGCTGTGGCTAGAGTTCCGCATCTAACAGCTGTAGAGAGGGAGAGAAAAGAGAAAGAGAGAGAACTGGGTGTGGTTCAGAGGGAAGGAGTGATTCAAAAATTTGCGCTGAGCTATTTCTCTTCCTCCACTCTGCTTCTCCCTGTTACTGTAACTCCCAGCACTCTTCTCATAAACATCGACTGATAGAAAGTACTCTGCCTGAATAATAGTTTGTAGAGCTTTGTCAGAGTTACACCACATTATTGAACTTTCTTAGTACTGAGTTACTATGTTAAAAATGAGCAGTGCTATGCCAATTATGCTATGCCACTATTGTAACACAAAGTCTTGCTTAGGAAGGGCACTTTCGTAACGCTTTTTTGTGATTGCAAAATCAGATTGATATCTTTCCCGGCCTTGGCAGCTGAAGTGTTTGGTATCGAAAGTGAATAGTGTCTCATAAGAACAGGTATTAATATCATGAGGATTGATCTAACTATCAAAATCAGCCACTGCTTAAAAGAATGTGCAGAAGCATTGTGACGTTTTGTTGTGCTAGATTGTGGAGGCTACAACTCCAACTAGAAGGGCATGAATAGACTAAGAAGAAAGGAGAAACAAAGATAAGGATGTTAATAAATCTTAACTGATCAGATTGAAAGGTACTACAATGCAGTCTTTCTCAATCCAGTCTTTGGGGAACCACACATGGTCTTTATACATCTACAAAAACTTCTCCAGAGCATCTGAGCTTGGTCAGAATGCTCACAGCACATTATGGAACATTTAATAATTGGTTAGACGACTCATTTTACAGCCTTCTGAGGTATCAGAATTGCAATATATCAAAACATCTCTGTATAAATAATGCACAAGGATTTCTTTCTTGTTGGATGCACAGTGTGAGCTCATTCAGAGGGTTGTTTGGATCAGTAAGCGCTTATTATTGATTTTTTAAATGAGAGTAACGATAAAGCACAACTAATGTGTGACACTTCTAGTCCTGTAATTTCTTCTAGTGAAAGATAATTTTATATCTATTATATTTTATTCATTTAGATTATTTTATATTTGTGACATAATGAATTGAATTTTCAGCTTCGTCATGTAGCGTTCCTTAAATATCAAATACACTCAATAACAGCATTTACAAATTAGGTTATTTACTAAGAGACTAGATAAGACGACAGAAATAAACACTTTTTTGTGTCTGCCTTAAAGGAATAAAACCTAAGCGACTGGCATGTGCTCATAGCATACTACTGTGTTACCAAACAGAAATGAAAAACTTTGATTTACTTTCATGTGAGGAAATCAGGTGTTTATTGAAGATTGATTTGTTTAATTGGAATCTCAGCTGTGTCTTCACATTCTGCTGCTGGAGCCACATGCTGGAAGAAGACTCTCACTCTGTTGCTGAGAAAACCTGAGAGAGAATTCATGACGCTTAATGTAATAATATCCATCTCTCTCTCTCCCTCTCTCTCTCTCTCTCCCTCTCAGTATGTTGGAGTGGTTGAGTAACATCTTCTGGCAGGAGCGTCTCTGGTTTCCAGAGGGTTTAGGGTGGGCTGACCTGGAGGACCGGGATGGGCGGGTTTATGCCAAAGCGCGGGATTTGTGGGTTGTGCTGCCGATCACCCTGCTCTTCCTTGTGGTTCGTCAGATCTTCGAAAGGTGAGTCAGAGCACCAAGTCGATCTTGTCCCACCCTGAATTTCTATTACTAAACGTTCACTAGCTTTGGAATAGGGAAGCATATGAGCAATCACTGAACTGGTCTCTAAGCATTGGAAGTGCGCTAGAACTAGGAATGTAAAGAAAGGAGTAAGGAGTAATTCAGCTACACATATTTTAAAATTTCAGAATCAACTGATTAAATAAAATATTTAAAAAACTTTACCTTTCTGGCCAAAATATTATCTATTAAAAACTTGGTGTTTTTTATTATTTGTATCCCTCTATTACATGAATTGTTTCTCCAGTCATGTGTATATTCAGTGTATTATTGTTGTATTTTAAATAGTTCATATATTATATCGTATATTATACATTATAATAAGCAAAAAAACTAATTGTGATGCTTGATATATTGCGTTGAGATTAATATCTTTAACTGCAAGGAGTTAAGTTATACTCACTCGGTATGGTTATTTCTCCTGGTCCTCTGTATCGTACATTAGGTGATTTTACCACCGTCAGTAAGCTCCTTTGTCTCTGTTTGTCTGTTTTTCTTCCTACTGTTTCAGCAAATTAATTGCACTTTGTGTGTTTATATGGATTTGTTTTACTGTTTGTCAGTGAGTGTTCCTCTTTTTAATGTTCTTATCTTTAAAAAGTACTTTCTTTACTGCACATTTTTCATTTTCTGTGTGATGTGTGCATGTGTAGGACTGTTGCTATGTATCTGGCCTCATTGCTGGGAATAAAGGAAACTGTACGAAGAAGAGCAGTGCACAACCCAACACTGGAGTCCTACTACAGCCACACGAGCAAATACCCAACACAGGTACCCAACTTCAGCTAGTACTACAGAGAGAAAGACTGACCAGTAGTTGGAGTTTGCACATGGTAGCCCTTAGCCACCAAGCTACTCTGCAACAATTAAGTAAAGACTAAAAAAGATTTAAAAAAACATATGATGTTTAACCATCTCCAGAAAATTGCACGGGTGGAAGTGCTGTGTAACGAGTGAATGTTTCACTGTCTGTCTGGTTTGTTTAAAAGACACTGTAAGCAGAGGTGAGCAATATGGCAAATTTCTCTCTCTCTCTCTCTCTCTCTCTCTCTCTCTCTCTCTTTCAGAGTTCAGTAGAGAAGCTTTGTAAGCAGACTGGCTGTTCAGAGAGGCAACTACAGCGCTGGTTCAGACGACGGAGAAATCAAGACAGACCCAACCTTATGAAGAAGTTCCGTGAGGCCAGGTACACGCACACGCATATGCACGCAAAGACTCTCTCAAACGCAGCTCATGTATACAAGCTTTCATATTTATTCTTCATCTGCACACCAGTGAGTGCACTGCAGTGTTAATGTGACACTGGCCTTCTGCATTCCCACACACACACACTCACTAGACATTTCCATGCTTCTGGCTGTGAGCCGTGTCAGCAACACAACACCTTAGAGAAAGAGAGAGAGAAAACGGAAGGGACAGAGACAGTGAGATACAAAAAAGGAAGCAATAGAGAGGGATAAAAACTGGATGGCGCAAGGCCTGGGTGATAGGGAGATGTAATCGGATATCGTCAATGATGGCAATAACCTGAGTAACCCGATGGCAATATAAATAAAAAGAACTGTGAGAGACTTAAAAGGGACTAATTTACTATTAAACAACTTGAAAAATATTTTGGAAAACTAATGTATAAGATGTGTGCAGACTCACACACTAGTAGTCAGTTTCACAGAGAGAAAGAGAGAGAGAGAGAAAGAGACAGAGAGAGAGAGAGAGGTTTAAGAAACTGCCTTTGTTATTTCTGTCCTCTACACATTGTAATGGTAGCCTTATCGCATAAATTCCCTTTAATTTACTTCATGTGAATGGAATCAAAAAATGTATGCCAGTGTGCTATAATGACTGCAAGTTAGCATAGAGCAGCAAAGTTGACTCTAACCTGAAGAGAAACTTCCTCTGATCCCCGTCTACGACGGATGTGCAGTATTTTCTATACAGATTACGTGTCCTGGCGGTTAGCTGAATTATGAAAACGCTGCTGTAACGATGGAAACACCTGATTTTTAATTAGGGAAGCATGTGGTCGTGGCTTTTGAAATCACTTGCAGTCTGAAGTTTCTCCAGCAGGGAGCGCTTTAAGCACGCAAGCATTCGCAAATCTGCTACAGAGGAAGCTCATGAACACGCCTGTTTGCAGTAACGTTTATTATGACAGTAGTTCTCAAAAGATGTTGGGCTTCTCAGTATCATATTACATAATATGTGAGTGTGAGTTTTATTAACTATTTTAATTAATATTAATAATTAATTTAATATTTAATAATAGGCAATATTATCGATAACCGTGATTTTTTAACTACAAAATATAGTGCTTATTAGTTTTTGATATCGCCCGGGCCTAGATGGCATTAGATGTCAGACTCTGGTGTCTGATGATTTAATTTAGCCCAGTTCAAAATGTACTTTACTGGCATGATTGATTTTGAACCATTTTACCACACAGCCACAGCTGTGGCATCAGAAACACAGGCACAGCTTGTGGAATGAATTTTTATTTCATTTTGCACAGAAAATGAATTACAATCGGCAGTCTCAGCAGAGGCACTGAAGGGTTTTTAATGATTTGCATGTGTGTGTGTGTGTGTGTGTGTGTGTGTTTTCTCTTACAGTTGGAGATTTACGTTTTACCTTCTGGCCTTCATTTGTGGCCTAATTGCTCTCATTGATGTAAGTAATGGAACAACTGTCATGGTTTAGCCAGTCTTTCTGTGTTTCTTCTTTCCATCAAGAACATTATAGCTGTACACTTGCGTGGTAACACTTGTGCTAGCAGGCTACGGTGCACTAAAACAGTCACACAAAAAATAGTAGCACACACAGGATTACAACTGAAAAGGTTTTATTATTCAAAAACATCCAAGATAAATCCAAGTGACGGAGGCTGCCACCTTCAGATGAGCTAATACTAGAGCTAGTATGTGCAGTGTTAGGTTGTCTTCAGGAAGCGGATTATGTGCCTTACCAAACACTGAGAACACATACACTCACCACACACACAAACATTATCTAAGCCGCTTATCCTCCTATGTCTCGGGTGTCGCTGGAGCCTATCCCAGCTGTCATTGGGCAGAAGGCAGGACATTGAGAACAGATTATTATTGTTAATGGTTCTCACTACTGTCATCAAGCATGGCTAGCCTAGCCACACAACCTCACACTCCTCAACTGTGTCCTTGCCACCACCTCCTGGACAACATTAGGTCACTCATGTTTTGTAGTAGTAAGGACATAATCTACAGTAAGTTAGGCTACGTTTACACAGCAGGTAAAAGTGGCCCAAATCCAATCTTTTTCCTCAAATGCGACATAGATGTGTCATCTGTATGGCAGTGTGAACAGCAAAAAAAGCATTGAATCTTACATTTTCAATTCCGATTTGAGACGTTTTCATATGTGGCACTAAAATCCGATACGCATCCGATCTGCGGCAATGCGACTCAGTCTTAACAGCCAAATCGGAATTCATGCGACTTTTACGTCAATACAGCTCGACATTTGTCATAATTTCGCGTTGGTGAGACTCATAAACATTTAGGCTGATGTTTCTGTACCAAAAAAATTAGAAGAGACTTATCGCAACCGCTCTGTGTTTGAAGAGATTTCGAACGAAACGGCCGAACGTGGCCGGAGGAGACCGAGGCTGCAGCGTCAAAGAACAGTTTAAAGAATCCAAGGACGCGAACCAAAGAAGTGGCCGTGGCAGAATAACGTGCCCTTTTTACAGCGAACTCGAACACATTGTGGGTGATGAGTCCAGCTGTCAACCACTGGAACTTTATACTCTCGCTCATGTGATGTTGGCGAAGATGAAACTGAAAGCTCCGGGAGCGACTGGCGTTCGCTGGCCGTCATGATTGTTTACTCTTGGATGAGCCGCCACGTGAAGCACTGTTCTTTTGCGCATGCAGGTTGGTTTAGGAGTGTGATCTGTTCAGACTGATGTCACATACAGATCACATTTAAAAGATAATGTGAACAGCCAAACAAAAAAATCTGATTTGGTGAGAAAATCAGATTTGGGCCACTTTTACCTGCTGTGTAAATGTAGCCTTAGACTCTTTTGTCTCTTGTTGCAGCACTCCGTCTAGGTAGTCATAATGTTTATTTCTCTTGTTGGTTTAGCAAAACTGTGATCACACACATGCAATAGCATTAATTTATTGATTTATCTCCACACAGAATATCTTTATCACAAATACAAGTAAAACTGTCAGCATTGCACAGTACAGCCCTACAACATCTGTAATTTCTTTTTCTTTCCTTTACTATCGTGCTATCTCTCTGCTCCGTCCTCCTCTCCCACGCTTCCCCCTCTCTTTCTGCTAAACAAAGCACAATTTTTGTGTGTGTATAATTTTTGTTATAATTTATGTGTGTATTTATGCGTAACATCTGTAACATGCTAAATTTTCCATTCTTTCTTTCTCTCTGTCTGTAGAAGCCCTGGCTGTATGACCTGGAGGAAATGTGGAAAGGATTCCCCACTCTGGTGAGTCCCCCCTCCCTCATTCCTGTTCTGAGCAACGCTTCAGGAATCTCGTTGTTTACGTGACTCCCACATTTGCTGTGACGCCCCGTGACTTCAGACTTCACTCCATTTAACCCTTAACATGTTTTCCTGCCAGTGAATGTAAGGATCTCTGTGGTATTCAATTTTATTCCCCGCTCTCTCTGTCTCTCTCTCTCTCTCTCTCTCTCTCTCTCAGACACTCCTGCCCTCTCAGTACTGGTACTACATGCTGGAGTTGAGCTTCTATTCCTCTCTTCTTTTTAGTGTGGCAACAGATGTCAAACGCAAAGTGAGTCTGACCTTGTTCCCTTTAAAAGTATAGAGATATTATTGATTGTCATTTTTCTGTACTTTCAATTTACATTATATAATTGTTTAAATGTAATTGTAAATGGTTCAGGTCTGCGCTTCCGTGGTTTTTTTTCTTTTTTTAATTGATTAGACAATTTTCATTTTCATGAATTTAGCCCTTTTATTTGCAACCAAAACTTAACAGTGGATTAAAAATGGTACTACAGTACCTGCGGGGGTTTATATGAAGAGTTTCATTCCAAAACACTGTATAGTGTTTTTTTTAACAATTATGGATATAACAAGTTTTGACTATATAAGTATAACATACAATGGAAACACATTTTTATTTCTCTAAAACAGTGACTTTTGTCACAAATACAGTGTTTATGTGTGTAAAACCCACTCTTGGTAACGTATCTCATGAAAATAGACAACTCTTGAAAGTGGTCTGTAATTTAATTGCGTTTTTGTATTTCACAGAAATCATTAGGCTTTCTCTGAAGGCCTGTAAGATACTGAAGGTTTTCCTCTGGAAATAAGCAAAATAAAATTATTATTTACTTTTATTATCTCTGATGATAACATTAACTTCTGAGGATTAATACGCCTCAACATACACTTTCTCACTCACCAGAGTTATTATAGTTTTAAAATTGTTTTTTTGATAGTTTTGATTGTGTTTTTGGGTGAATTAAAGTGAATATTTTGTCAGATGTACTCTACTGGTGTATTGGTGTACTTTACTCTGTCTGTTGGGTTTCAGTGTTTTAGCAGGGCAGTTTCAGCAGTTTCTCTTCATGTTGCAGTGAGCATTGTCCTTTTGATGTAGTTTTTGTGTTTTTGACAACTGTTGTTTTTATTTTCAGCTTCATATATTGTTAATATTATTTCATTGTTAGTTTTTGTTTTAGTAATATTTTCCATTACCAGTAATAATCCTGTCATACACACACACACCTGAACGTCGTATCACCTTCCCACAGTGCAACTCATCCTCGGCAGGCGCAGAGCTGAACATATTTGCATTCCAATCACACACAGTGCCATAGAATTGTAGAGAGCTGGTTTTCAGAGCATTGCGTTATTCAAAACGGACTAAGACATCTGGCTCATTTGTGTCGGCAGCATGTCGATTCCAGGTTCATCTGAGGTCAGGTGGTTCTCAACTGTGCTGCTTTTTTTCTCTTTCTTATCTCTAAAGAGTCATTACTGATGAGGTTATTTTACAGAGCATAGTACATTACAGATAAACAAACAGTCAAACTGCCACTGGATCCTCATACAGCTCCAGAAAATTTCCTTCTCTCTCTCTCTCTCTCTCTCTCTCTCTCTCTCTCTCTCTCTCTCTCTGTCTCTCTCTCTCAGGACTTCAAGGAGCAGATCATCCACCATGTTGCCACCATCACATTGATCAGTTTCTCCTGGTGTGTGAACTACATCCGAGCTGGAACACTGATCATGTTTCTGCACGATTCCTCTGACTATCTGCTGGAGGTACACACACATACGAGCTTACTCAAAGAAAACTCACTCTGTCATACACACACTCACACAAACCCACTGATACACAACTTTAACCACAACATACAGTGTAAAGAGGTGATATTTCCTGACCAGAGCCAAAAATTCATTTTTCACTGGGTCTGGGAGGTGTGAGCAAAATGTCTGCATGTGTGAAAACACAAAAACACACTTTAAAACTAGAGACAAAATGCTGAGCACAAATAGAGGCAGAAGTCAGCGTTTTACATACTCAAGCAATTCTTCTTTCTTTATCTCTTTGTCATGTCTTGGAGCGTACGTACGTACGAACGTAATTCCTGACGCATGTTGAAATTTCTTATCATGGTTAAAATTAGCAGCATTCAGATCGCTCTTTTGGACATTTTGTAAGAGAGCATGACCAAATCTGATGTTTATTATTGGTCATTAGTGGTTGGAATAAAGCTATTTCTCCATAGAAAAAGATGAACAGATAAAAGTAATTGTATAGTACTTGAGCCAAAGTGCTTTTGATGTAGTCATTATTAGTGTTTTGATATACAGATTGGACACTGAAATTGCACATCCTACAGTACCAACAGTGAACTCCTTTTTCCTTTCCTTTCCCACAAAAACCTTACACTGAGACCACATTTACCTTTCACCCCTTACCAGATTTACTACTTTCTAATAAATTGGATCTGAGGAAGGTGTGGTATGTTGAAAATACAAAATGCTGAACAGAGCCACCTACTGGAAAATAAGTGCAACAGTAGTCTGCTTGTGCTTCTACCTACTGTACTGTATTTAATTTCTCTCTCTCTCTCTGTCTCTCTCAGTCGGCTAAAATGTTTAACTATGCTGGCTGGAGGAAGACTTGTAACTACATCTTCATTGTGTTTGCTGCATTCTTCATCATCACACGACTTGTCATCTTCCCCTTCCGGTATGAGTCACACAAACACAATCGATCCAATTTAATCCATTTCAGTTCAGTGAGACTGAAGTATGTGTATACACAGTACAGTAGGGGAGTGAGTGTAACATGTACATACAGACACCCTTAATTAATATTCTTTTTCTAATATGTTAATTGACATTTCAGATCATCTGTGTACACAGTTTGTGACTTTATTCTGATTGGCCTCACTTAACATGAAGATGATTACGCCAAAGTTGCAGACGGTTTCAGCTTAATCTTTAAACCCTCTCTTTCTCTCTTTCTCTTTTTCAGGATCATGTACTGCACATGGGTGTACCCAGTAACAATCTATCCTCCTTTCTTTGGATATTACTTCTTTAACAGCTTGATGCTGGTGCTGCAGTGTCTGCACATCTTCTGGGCTGTGCTCATCATCCGCATGGCACTGCGCTTCCTTCCCAGAAACGTATGTCACTTTGTGGGTGTGTGTCGGGTTGCAAACTTTGGTGAAGTAACTGAAGTGAAATTTTTAGGTGGCTGGAGTGAACCAGGAGTGAGATTTTAAATTTTATATGCACAAGTGCATAATCCTTGTTATTCTACAATGATACTCCTTTTAATCCCAGCTCATTAACATGTGGCTGTGAAGCCAGTTTTAAACCAGAATGCAGCACAAGCAGAAGCATCACGTAAAGCAACGTTCACGTTACCCGCCAGTTTGTCCAGTGACAAGATTTAGTTATCCTGTGTTCAAGGCAGCAAACCACCCATCAGAAAAATGAAAACAAATACCCCAAAAACAAGTTATTAACGTATTGTATAATTCAAGGAAACAGAAACATAGAGCATATTGTTTTTTATATTCTTGGTTTTGTGTAAGTACAGGATTACAAAAAACCGTGTAGTCCCTGGCTGTGCATTTTAATCAGTGTCTGTTGGGGTTAAAGTTCAGTGAATCTGAACTTTAACTACTGAACGCTGTGGTCTGCGTGGAACATATTTCAACATGGTGAAAAAAAAAGGTTTCGCAAAAGTGATTAGGTGAGACGCACCCAAATACTTTTCCCCACAATAAATGCTGCTTAAGACAGTAACATTAGATTATCTACATTTGAGTTTTCTTTTAATGGATGAAGTGCAAATGTCTTTCTTTTGTCTATCACTTTGTCTCCGATCACTATAAACATGCACTGTTATTAGTAAATGATTAAATGAAGTATTTGATTCAAGGAGATGTGCATTTCTGACAGAAGCAGAGTAACATATTGTAGTGTTGCACATGATGAGGGTGACTATTTTTAATCCAAACAAGAGTCTAAATCCGAGCATGTCAGTAGCTGAGCTGAGGAACTTACAGCGTATCATGCTGGTTGGTGTCAGAGTGATCTTGGAGCGAGAGAGAACCCAAACGCTCCAGCTTCCTGAAGCTGCCCCTTGTTCCTGGGAAAATTGCACCACAATACTTTACTCACTTTCCCGTGCAAGTGACATAAAAGTCATACAGTGACATACAGCCAAAACCATGAGAGTTAGCAGCCCTGCTTTGTGTGTCTGGGTGTGAGCAAGGCTTGTGTGTCTAAAAAAAAAAGTTGTGTTTTGTATCCATTTGACACCAGACAATAGACTGTGTGTTAGCTCTCATTTTAAACATTAGGAAATTTTCTCTCTATTAAATGTTATTCATATGGACTAGTGCAGGGGTTGGCAACATGCGGCTCTTTTACTGCCCTGTTGCGGCGCCACAGCAGAATTCAGTTTTTAGGTAAAAATAAAAAAATCTTCCTTTGCAGTAAAATAAAGCTCTGCTGACCGTTCGAACACAGTTTTAACAATAAATTAAACTTAAACGCTGGAATTAATGTGTAACTGCTAATTCACCCTTTAACCCTGAAGATCGGCACACAGACTGCTAGTCACCATAGCAATGCAGACAACAATTTTGCCTAGCTAGTAGCTAACTAAAGGCTAAAGAGAAAGACGAACATCGATAATTTGAAGACTCACTTATTTGCATTTATAAGCACTCCAGCTGATTTCCTTATATGCTTAATCTGCAACGAGAAACTGTCAAACACTAAAAACTCACAAGGCTGAAGTCAGTTTCTCGTTCGCCAGTTTCTCGTTCAAATTTTCCCGTTCCACCTTAAATGGTGCAGCAGTAAGATCCTGGCACCTCAGGCACCATTTAAGGTGGAACCGGAAAATTAGAACAAGAAGCTGGCGAATGAGAAGCGACTTCAGCCTCATAAAACGATAAATGTTGAGAGACATTAAACAAGAAACTTTTACACTTTTGCGAAAATGTATTCTGATGGAGAATGTATCGGTCTCTGCCTCACTCTCGAGGCTGCCACGATCACTGCTGCACTGCAATGGTAGCATGCCGGTCGGAGCGTTGAGCATGTGACTGCCATAACCAGGCATACATCCTTTTTTCCGTAAGAGCACAGCTGTGTAAAGCAAAATGCATTTTAAACCAGAAGCAGAAACTTTAAAGATTTAACTAAGATTTCAAACTGGTTAGATGGCAAATTTATTGTAATCTGAAAGAGCAGAACTCGTATATGAAGTTGGGATACTGTGTTAAAATCTTGTAACCCTACAGAAATAAGTTGGATGCAATTCTGAGTAGATCCAGTTCCAGCTTGTTTACGGATTGGCATCAGATGTCATCATTCCTATATCAGTGCATCTTTGTTTGACATGCAAAATAACCACCCACAAATCATCGTTTTCGTGTGATGGGTAGCAGTAGGTGACTTTTAAATACAGGGCTACAACAAAAGCACTTGCGCAGGGAGCAAAGTGGTATGCAACGGAAAAGCACGCGAAGAGATCTAATTTACTAGCTTAGTTTAAACCTGGTGCATGAAAGTGCGTACACATGGACATGTAAATAACCAATCAGAATGCAACTGACAAAATGCTGACAGTTGTGGCCAGTTTAACGTGCAGTAGGCATCAGACACTCTGTGGGTAAAGCATCTGAGGCTGAGACTAGCATGAGCCTAGTTTGAGCTGTTGTTTTATGTTCAGCATATGTAATATGCATATTGTATCAACCCTATTCACTCCATTGTTTACATTGTCTCCAGGAGATTGTGGAAGATGAGAGGAGTGACAGAGAGGAGACTGACGACTCAGAAGAAGAAGAGGAGGAGGAGCAGGAGAGAAATGGGGAGATAAAGAAGAACGGTCCGATTCAGAATGGTTACGTCAGACACAACAACAACCACCACAAAACGGAGTGATGTTTGGAGGAGAGAGAGGAGAGAGGTGGAAGAAAGCTTGAAAGAAGAGAATCAAAAACTGATGATGTACATCCTCGCACAAGAGAGAGAAGAGTTGGAGAGAGGGAGACAGAGGAACTTCTTACAAATGTTGATGAACCATTTGTTCTCCCTTCTCTATACACTACAGAGTGAACATTCAGGCATCTCCTCACCACACACACAAACTCACGCACTACATTACCAATATACACACAACCTGTAGTCACACACCCACACATCCATACACATACGTACACACGGATCACAGACAATATCGCTGCAGTGCCAAATTCAAAATCACTTCTGAGAGAGAGCTAGAGAAGAGAAACAGCAAAGCAGATTTTTCAGTTTCCTTCAAAACAAGTGCCTTATTGCTCCTTTTTATCTTAATTCTCTCATCCCATTTTAAGTCCTAAACCATAGTTCCCCTGAGTCAGCATCCTGTTTCTGCTTTTAATATTTTAAATAAAGCTCTCACTTTGAGAAGCTCAGCTCTTTTTAAATCAGGATCTTACAGCTAGTTACTGGTCACTGACCCTGTTCAATGTATGTAAATAGGCCTACAGCAAAAAAACATTATCAAAATCGGCACCTGGATTAATAATTCCCAAATTAAAATGTCTTTGGACAAACAAAAACAGTCATAACTTCTACTATATCCACTGCTTATAGCATTGTTTTTTTAAAGACTAAGCACAAATATGAAACAGGCCATTGTGTGTATTTTAAAGAATACTATTGCGACAACTCGCACCCTATTATCTTCGAACGACAGGCTCATAGCAGATGTAATAACGAAATGTAATGAGAAACACTGCAGGTTTTGTTTCTAGATCAGAAGGTTCTGCTTCTCCTTTTTTTCTGGAAATAAAACCTCCAATGTTTCCAGTGCAAGTTAATATTACATTTTATTTAGTTCACAGCACTGTTGAATACTCACTATCTCTTTTAAGTACTAGTGTGGTTTAACTCATAGGGCCAGATTTTTCATTGTGTTGTAGGCTTACCGTGAACCCTAACCAAGTCCTCGATCTGACATGTTATAAACAGTGCCAGTCATAGTGAATGTAATGATAAAAAATATCAAATATCTCAAATGATTGCTGTTTAAACCCCAATCAGGATGATTTTAAAATAACAGACTTTATAGACTCTGTTAACATTAGTCAGTGCTGAAGAAACCTTCCAGGATCAGCAGGCATTCAGGAGCTGTCCTTGTGACTGTCAAATAATGTAGTGTTTTTAAGACATTTTGTATTAGGAAGTAATCAGTTTTCCGCTGTCAGAGACATACAGACTTTGGCCAAATACACCAAGAATAATGTCAGTTTAACTTGAAAACTGCATGAGCATCAGTCAAGTCAGTCTTTTTGAAATATTGTGTATCAAAGCTACCATTCGTAACATTAGAGAGAAACAGTAAACACACTAATAACAAGATTCATAATCAGATTTTCTCCTTTGTTCAGCTAGTGTCATGTAATTCTGCACTTGAACCGGGATTGTGTGTATCAGGCTTGTGAGAGTAAAGGTCTTGGATCAGTTTTTGATTCTCAAATCCTAATATATCAGTTTACTTGGGCGCTCAACTCGACCGTCATGCCAAGGAAGTGCATCCTGCGCTAGAAGAACCAAAGCAAATGATAAATTATGTCACTTTATGAACATTGTTGTGTTGTGATTCCAGTAAGAAAAACAAAAAACAAAACAACAGCTTTACAGTGTTTTAATTTACTTTTTTTTTTTTACATTTTTATTTCATTCCACTTGTTCAGAAGTAATTCATTTCATTTTTGAGAAATGAAGGCGAGTTGGTGCAGGGATTTGCGTCTTTCCTTCCACTACTACAGTAGCTGTCCCATTTTGTAAAGGTATTGTCTAGAACATCTGAAAGTCACCCACCACGGTACTGGAACCTATGGGACAGTCTCATGTCTTTTTCTTAAAATAAGTGTCCTTTTCCTGTCATTTTTCTCTCTCCACTCCCCTCTATCATCGCTCTCTATCTTTCCCTGAGTTCTCTTCTTTCTGAATATTCCTATTTCTCCTTTTCATGCCATCACATCCCTTACGTTTTTTTTTTCTTCTGACCAGCGTTTCCACTGCCCTCATCTATGCATTGTTCCAGAAATACATCAAGGCCCTAATTACAGTATTACTTTTATTTTTTTAATTTTATTTTCTGTTTGTTTTGTTATTATGCATAAATGTTATTAATAGTGATGGAAATAATAAAACAAGTGAGAATCACAACAAAGGCTGCTGTGTGTGTGTGAGAATAGTGAGCATATTAAATACACGGCTAAGTACTTAGTACTCAATAAATTAAATACATATTTAATAGTAAACATGAGTAATTCACTCACAGTATGCTAGGATTATGAGAGAAAGCCTAAACTTACTGGTGAACTCATAAGCATAATCATCACATAAACAGACTTGTTTGTAATTATACAGTCACCATGACAGATGGTGTGGACAGTATGTGTGGAAATTAGAATGTTTTGTTAAATTTGTGGTAAATGTCTCTAATGCAGTTTTGTCTTATTTCTCACTTAAGCTATTTAAGTTATAGAGCTTAGGACCTCACTCAGTATGGTTCTCAAAAAGTTTATACTGACTTGTGAACTGTGAAGAAAAAATTCTTAGTCTTGAATGTCTTGAGAACAGTATATAAGTACATAGTGCCACATTTACAGCCTTGTTATTAGTAGCCATATAATCAACCTGTCTCTATCCCTATTTTTTTTTATTTATTATTATTAAGCTTTCATCAATAATGCTGTGCCTTCAGACAAGGTCAAGATAAACTTGCGTTGCGTCACTTGCATGCAACCAATGGTATGCGCGAAGAGAGCTCGAAATGGACGCGTTCCAATCGGCTCGATCGCACTTTCAAATAGACTGCGCACAGGGAACGTGGCAGTGAGGAGTTCTGCTCACTCGCTAGGGGACCTAGTTAGGGCTTGAGTACGCGTATTGGTGCGCGACCCGAATCTCTCTCGACCTGCGTGTTTTCGGTGGAAAAGCCGTTGCGCCATTTTAGAGGGTTGAGGGGGTTTAAAGAGAGAAGTAAATCACAAGTTTATTAAAATGAGGCTGTTTAGGTCGAACATCAGGAGAAAATGACAATGTATTTTAAGCCATGACACTGTAGGGGCAGTTGTTTTTTTGAAGCGGTGGTTTAAAGGAAGATAAGAATAAAAATACCGGCTTGGTTGTTTGTTTTCTACTTGTTTTGTTTATGCGTTAGCAGGAGGAGCTAAAACTTTCACAGTTCCAGTCCGATATGGCATCCTCAAACCCAGGTACTGCATGCAACACACAGCTTAATCAAGCTTAACATTCAATTTCTATCGCTAATAAACAGCTGTCAGGTCTTTAAACAGACTTTTCAGATTTAACGCTAATTTGATAGCGAACAAATCGCAGGTTTGCAGTTTAGCCCAGAGCACTGAGTTGGTAACGTTAGCTTTAGCGTTAACCTAGCTAGCTAGCTACTAAACTTATCCAGGGCTTTATTTTTGGTACCGGTACTGTAGTAATAATGTTCATCTTTATGTGCTTCGTTCTTCGATTCTAACCCGACCTTTGTAACGTTAGTTTCAGATTAACTAAAGTTAAGGTTTGCGTGTAAGTTAGCTGGGAGCTAGCCAGCATTAGCTTACGCTAAAAAGCACCTAGGCCGAGTAAGCTAGGCTAAGCTAACGCCGCTTAAAATGATTTGATGAAGTCATACCGGGCCAACTCAAAATGCCTTTAAATAACGTTAAAGAGTCCAGTTCAGATGATTTCCGTTAACTGTGAGTTTTGATGTTTTGCTGTAACAAACCTGACCGAGAATCAGGAAGACTTCAGAAGTCACCTGATCTCAGATATGAATGAGCAGCTCATGTGGACAACAGGACTGAGGCTGAGAAGCATATGTTATTCTGCTCATGGTTTATGAAGCAGTTTTTGAAGTCAGTCAGTTGTTTTGAAGGTGGACTATAGAAATAAGGTTGTGAGCTGATGTTATTTTGCCCATTTGGTGATATGAGCTATTTAAGTTTCCAGGTGTACTTGTTTGACACACATTGTTTTCAAGTAAATAAGATGTCTTTTGCCATGTGTTCGTTGAATGACATGCCAAGCTAAAAAAAAAAATACATGCTTTGATTATAGATCTGCTTAACAGTTCACTGGCCTGGTCTCTAGGTGCAGGTTTCAAATCAGATAACGATGAACCAGCAACTCCTCTTAACTCTGTATTTGAAATAGAAACACAGAGTGTCTTTCAGGGATGCACTGACATGGTAATTGTGGGCAGATGCCGATTTAGAGTATATTTCATATACATGTCTGTTGGTCCCTTTGCTGAGACACAGTCATTTATAAAACGTAGAAATTGGGAGTACCTGGATAAGTTTTGCAGAGAAATGTACAATTTCTTTGTAGAATGTGACAAATGCACTGAAATAAATAAAATGCAGGCATTCTAGCATAGTAGCCCAGTGCCACCTAAACTAGTGGTTCTCAAACAGGTCCTCAGGGACCACCAGCCAGACGGTTCACATTTTTGCACAATCCCAACTTTTAACACACAAGAACTGAGTAAAATATGGACCGTCTGGGGGCCCTGTTTGAGAACCACTGGCATGATCGTTGTGGTCCTCCAGAGTACAATAAATACATTATCAAAAGTCACCTCGGAATCACCTGTCAAATCTGCACATCTGTCCTATGCCACTTTTTAAAAAGCAATTACTGATTGTTGATTCTGAAATGATTCCAGGGTTGCAATTACTGATTGTTGATTCTGAAATGATTCCAGGGTTGTGGTGCATCCCTAGTGTCTTTTTCAGATAGCAAGAAGCAGAAGTTCTGGCCTGCCTGTGTTAAAATTAAACCATGTTTTGTTCTTCATGTAACTGCTGCTTTTTGTTTTTCATTATAATTGTGAGAACTGGCTTGGTGTCTCTTTGGCAAGCATTGCACTGCGAGACCACAGGTTTTGTCAGCATGCAATCAGACTCTGTTGTAATGGATGTTACAAAAACTATGCTGCTCAGTTTATCACCAAAGATGAACACCATCTGATGTTTTAGACAAAATAACACGTAGCTTGTTCATTTGTTCCTTTATTTTAAGATGTGTTGAAATCCTGAGCCTGTGTGTGTGTTTGGTCTTAGACATGCCTGAGGTGCCTTCATTGGGAATGGCCACGCCAGCTGGATCGCATGCCGGCGCCGGAGCCATCGTGCCAAAGGGCAGCAACAAACGGCCAGCAAGGTAAGGACTGGTTGTGCTTGAAGTCACGTCTACTGTCAGCCTTGCACTGGTTCGCAGTCCTATAGTGTTACAGGGGAATGCTGATTTGTGATCACTTGATTTAAAAATCAAAGAGAACACACTGCTCATCTGGTATTAGACTTGGCTGAGGTGCTGGAGCCAAAATGGAAAAACTAAATGTGAAAAAGCATCTGCACATTCAAAAAAGGGTGGCTTTTTCACATTTGGTTGCTTGTTGTAAAAAATAATAGTAAAGTTTAGTTGATGAAGCATCTTTTTTACCTTTTATAAGAACAAGGTACAAAATATCAGTAATACGTAATTAAAGAGTAACAAGGGCAAGACAAATATTTGATGCTGAAATATCTGCCTCTGGCTTCAGGCAGTCTGTAGGTAGGGTCAGGTACAAGTCCAGGATCAGAGGAACTGAGAATGTGGTCAGGGCAGTAGGAATGAAGAAGCTCAGCTGAATAGGTGGTGTTAAGCGCTTGATGAAGATACCTGGAACAGCTATTTTTGCCTACACTGTGTTATCATGAATCAACGTACATTAGCCGTGATGAGATTCTTCTTAGCTCTTAACATGTTTGGAAGGAGTTTGATTGATAAATTGATTGATGTCTAAATTTTTTCTGCTGAGTGATGAAGCTCTGTGGTTCACTTTAGAGACTGCTTTGGTGCAAACTGAGTTTTGTGAAGTGGGAAATCCAGGCTAGCTGTCTGGTGGATTTTCAGACTGTTCATGTGTGCTGTTGTGGCTGAGGAGACATCTGTTGTGTGGTCTGTTGTGCACTAAAAAGTCCCAAAAATTGTTTTAAAAAAACGTATTCTGTCTGTAAATGAATTGTGAAATCTGGGTGACTAGGTGGTGTTGGGAAAGTCATAATACTTTAGTTTGAATGGTTGTGCAATAGTGTATGTGGATGACTAATGTGATATTTATCATCCTCCCCTCCCCCCTTTTATTTCCTTTTCAGCTCTGATTTTGAAGATGATGAAGGAAGTAAACTCTTTAGGTGGGTGCAGATCTGTAGCTTACCTTTTCTGTGTGACATCTGCAGCACGTAAAGTAGTTTGAAATATATTTATAATATATAATGAAATATATTTATAATATATAAATATATTTTATGTCACTGCCAGAGAACTTGATGGACTTCAGTTTGAGAGAATTTGAAATGTAACAGATGACTTTTTTTGCCCAAAACTCAGGGAAATTAATATTCTCCTGCTTGGAAAACCAGTTCTAAGCGTTCATCAAGTACAGACAAGCAAGAAAAGCTGAATTGCTACTGGAGAGTTTACAGTGATGTTTCATAAGCTGGAAATGTTTATTTGCTTTTCCCTCAGATGTGATGATGACGCAGGCGCCTCAAATGACAAAGAACGCTTTGCCAGGTACGGAGAGGAAAAAAGAGAAAGAGTAGCATATGTGAAAATTTTTAATGGGCCCTCTTTGATGAAATATGAAAGCAAGGACATCTCTGCTTGGAGTGACTAGGTCGTTTATTACAGCTCCTTATGAGCAGTAGCTTCAGACTCTCTCTGAAAAAGAAAATGAGGGTTTTAGATTGTATATAAAGGGAAAATGAGGTCTGTATGTTTCTCTTACACGTTCGCAAAGAATGCGTCACTATATTAAAGTATCAGTCAAAAGTTTGGACACACCTGGTTGAAGGTGTGTTTTTCATAATCTTAAAGATATTTAGATCTAGAAGTTTACAGTAAAATCCTCTAAAAGTTTTCCTCTAAACATAACATTTTGATCTTTTTCGAATAATATTTCAGCCCTCTGGTGTTTTGTCACAGTACAATCTGACACGTTTTTTGAAAACAGTTTGCACACCCCTGGCATATGTGAATTTCAGGACCGTTAGGAAAAACATCCCAGGTGGCTGCTCATGAAACTACTTGAGGGAATTCCAAGAGTGCAATAAGACAAAGGGGACCACTATGAAGAATCTGAAATATACAT